CCTCCAGGTCAAACAGCAGCAGCATGTAGATGGCGAGAGCTGGAAGGAAAGGAGAACATCTTGAGGAAGCAGAAAGACTAAAGCGATGCGTTCGACCCGCAAGATTCAGGTCCTGTGAGGGCTGGTCATAGAGAACAGAAAGTTCACACTACGAGAATGAGCTGGCAAAGCCATTTGCAAAACAAACCCGACGCTGAAGCTGAAACAGCAGCTCACGAGCGCTTGGCAGCCCGTGCAGGGCATGTGATCTGGGCTCAAAGTGCACGGTCCCTGCTGGGTTGTGCTGGTGGGACACGAGCACTTGCCTGTTAGGTAGACGGAGACCCCGCAGCAGAACAAGCCGATGGCTTTTTGCGGCTGTCCAAAAGGAACCAGTCTGCCCTGCAAAACGGGTGAGAAAAATACAGGTTTGTGTAATCTCCCAGCACAGGAGAAAGGCTCATGCTCTGGCCCCTTCCGAGAAACTGAAATGCTGTGTTCACGTGGAGGAGAGGCTCGGAGCCAGGTCGCAAACCCAAGGAGCTCTGCTGAGCTGGGCTTTGCTCCAGGCTGCAGAGCTCTAGACTTGGTTCCTCTCGCTCTAGAACGGAAGATTTTGAGATCACTTGAAACTTCAAACTTTTCCTGCCTGTCTCCTGTGCTTCATTAACCAGATGGGGCAGGGGCTCAGGAGAGACAAATGGCTGTGGCAGGTTTTTGCAGGTGATTTGCCCCTATTCAGCAAACCCTGGAGAGTGAGCAAGGAACAAAACTGGTGTGTCAAGCCCATCTCCTCCTTAAAGAATGACAAGTTAAGTTGAATTAAGCAAGGCCAACTTTTCACCCTTGGGGATTGGATTTCTGTGCTCAGCTCAGATTGCAGACCTTTTGTCTGGAAGGGGCTTAGTACTTGAATTGTGCTGAAAACACGTGAAAAGACCAGCGAGGCCTTTGTTTCCCACTCAGCACCAACCTCTGCGCCTGCTGCCGGCATTTTCCACCAGCACGCTCTGCTGAGCCACCGATAGCTCTGCTTGGGTGTTTTTGGAGCCAGACTGACCTGACAAACCTCGGTCCTCGCTGGGCTTTGGAGGCTGCTGTCACCAGAGGATGCCTTTGCTAATTGGGAGAGCGGGATGTGGTTGTTAGGGGATGCAGCGTAGTGTGGCCGGGGTGGAGGTTGGCAGACGGGTGCCAGGCAGCTTGGAGGGTTGGAAATGGGAGGGCTCAGAATGATGCTGGCAGGACTGTGATGTTGAGAAGGCACAAACAGTCCCTTGAAACAACAGAGGGCTGTGCCAGGGCATCGCTGGTCCCGCTGGCCACCTTCAGAAGTCCCCAGGAGCTGGTTGGAAACGTGCCCTGGCTTGG